GGGTTGGATGTGGGGCTGGATGTGGGGTTGGATGTGGGGTTGGATGTAGGGTTGGATGTGGGGGTGGATGTGGGGTTGGACATGGGGTGGGATGCGGGATGGGATGCAGGACTGGATGTAGGGCTGGATGTAGGGCTGTATGCGGGGCTGGCTGTGGGGCCGTATGCGGGGCTGTACGCAGGGCTGGATCCGTGCCGCCCGCGGGGGGCTGCGCAGCCTTCAGGCGGCTCCGACGAGACGAGCAGCCAAGAGCAGCCGCGACCGCGGCCGCGGCCGTGCCCGTCTCTCCCTCCTCGCCCCACTCCGCTCTCTCAGGCACCGGCATCCACCCGAATCAGCCGCTCGGTGCCCGGGACGCCCGACAGCGCCGGACCCACCGCCCGCTCCCTCAGCCCTTTGTTGCCGCGCCCGGGGCTGCAAATGGCGCCCGGCGGGGGGGGACGCGGCAGCTCCGGCGGGCACCGAGCGGCTCCGTCCGGAGCCGCTCGGTGCCCGCCGGAGCTCCCGCGTCCCCCCCCCAACCCACCCCCCCCGCTCCCCGGAATCCCCCATCCCCACCCCAAAGCCCCGCCGCCCTCCCCCCGGCCTACCGGGTGTGCGGGAACCGGCGCTCGGGTGTGCGGGCGCTGCCGCCGCCGCGGGCCGAGCGGGCGGGTTCGTGAGGGGGAGTCCCCCCGCGGCCCCGCCTCGGGGCTCGCCGGTGCCTTGCAGGCGACGCCGCCGCTCCCTCCCTCCCTCCTCCTCCTCCTCCTCCTCTCCCGCAGCCCCCGCGCCAGAGCCCGAGCAAAAAGGGGAGAGGAGAAACAAAAGGTATTTGCTGACGTGGGCGTTGGACACGGACGCCCGAGGGCTGGGGACACACAGTTAAAGGGGCAACGCACCCGTTGGAAGCCGCAGCCCCGGTGCCCCGCGGGATGCCCCGCAAGGGGATGGGGACGCCCTACATGCCGCCTTTTCGCACCTTTATCTATAGCCTGGGTGACCCAAATCCTTCCCCCTTTCTCTCGCGGCTCCCTCCGAAGGACATGTGACATCTTCTCTTTTCGCTGTTGGGATCTGTTATCTCGCGTCTTGAAAGGCGAAACCTGAACCTCTCGCTTTCTCCCCTTCCAAGTTTGGTATCTTTTTTTCCTTCCTCTTCTTACCGCCAGGGCCTTTTTCCGTGCTTTTCGCACCCCGGTTATATCCCATAAATATTTATTCTCCCATGGAAGCCATTCTGCCTTAAAACGTGTCCTTTGTGTCCTTTTTGCCCTTCCCTTCCGTGAGCTGCAGGCATTCCATCCAACCTGGCCTTGGACACTCCCAGGGATGGGGAAGCCACAGTTTCTCTGGGCAACCTGTGCCAGGGCCTCCCCACCCTCACAGGTCTCTCTTTCAGAGAACAATTTACAAATGACTCTAAAAAAACCCAACATTCTTCTTGCTGGTACAACCTCCTCCCCGGATCATCGAAGAGGGTTCTTCGCTCACCCTCTGATGGCCCTGGGCTGCCCTGCCCTGCTTTCCTGCTTTTCTTCCCCCACAAAAAGTCCTTTTCACCAAGGATGGAGACAACCCTGTGGCCCTCATTCCCCCCGAGTGCTGCAGCACCTCACATCTTCCGTGGAAAAAGATGGAAAACCCGTGTGCTTGCCACGAGATTTGTATTTCCTCTTTGAATGAAAACAGTGAAAAGCAAGAAAGGGTTGTTACAGTTTTCACTGACTCGGGATATCCTACATCAACAGGGAAACACAGTTTTGTTTATGGATTTTCCAGTATAATTCAAAATTATCTGGAAAGAATATTTGGGAGTCCGTTGTCCCCATCCCCAGATGCTTTTCCTCCTAGCTCAGGTCAGTGGCTGATTCCCAGCATGAAAAATGAAAAGCTTTAGAGAGTTTAAAAAGTTCAGTTAGTATAAAACTACAAAGACTTCAGAAAGCCAAGTCAGTGTTAATAACACAAAAGATTTTCTAAAAAGCCACTTGGCTGGGGTTCAAGTGGACAGGATCCTTTTAGTCCTTTCCTACCAAGAACCTGATTCTTCTTCCAAACTGTCTGTCCCCAGAAATGGATATACCCATTTTTTAATTGGATTAATTAAAGGGAGATAGCTGTTTTGTAATTTTAACTCAAGAAACTGAAACGTGAGCCTTAATCTAGACACTCCCAGGCTTACTCAGTCAACATCTGAATGGTAAAAAAATCAAAGCAACCCTCTCAGAGAGTTTTATTTTCTAGACAATCAAAAAAACTCCAGAATGCTCCAAGATCCACAAATATAGTTCAGTCACTTCTACAAATAAGGTTCAGTTTATAAGAATCTGTCATTGTAACTGGACTAAAGGACTTCAGTTATGAAACTGTCTTACAAAACATCAGGAAATCAAATGACCACGTTTGGAAGATTTACAGGGGCTTGCACCAAGAGGTTAAATGAGCTACAAATACCAGTGCAGCATGTATTCCTCCAGTGAAATACAGTGCAATTATGTGCAAAAATACATTAAAATGTACATTCCTAAACAAAGTCAAGTACATCAAGCTAAGACTTGAAGATATGTCGTTCTGCACGGCCTTTAAAAACCTTTGAGAAAGAGATTGCATTAGAAATAACTTTCCTAAAAACATTATTTTTGATTCTTCATCAAGCACCATTTCAAAACAGCCACATCGTTTTCTCAAAGCTTGTAGAGGCTGGATCTACAACGGAAGATTTCAGGGAAAAAACACCCAAAAAACTAAGTGGAAAGCACGAGAAAAACAGATTTACATGAACACCCCCCCCTCCCCCAGGTCACAAGAATGTGGGTAAACTACATCCTTTTCTACTACAAAGGCTGAAGGACTCCATAGGAAACAAAGCAGCACAACATGACAATTCCAACAGGAAACACGAGTTTGGTGGTGACTTTCCACGTGGAATGTGCACGGCCAACCCCCCCCTCCCCTCACCCCTCACAGCTCCATTCTCTAGGCACAAGACACACAAGAACAATCTCTAAGACCAAAGAACAGCAGGTTGAAGGGAAAGGTCTCTGCAGACACACCCGCGGCTCTCTCGCGACACTCAGACCTCCCAAGAGGTTGGTTTGCCCTGCTCTGAGTGTCCCCACGGGCTCAGCCAGGAGCTGCATCTTCCCACAGCTGTGGAGCACTGGCCAGAGCCAGGCTGGGCTGATATTCCATGTCTAGTGGCTTCCACCAATATTTACAATGAGGTGGCACCTTCACGACCAGAAATGGGGGTGTCTGGTCACTGAGTGTGGTTTGGGATCCCTATTTACATTCCATCAGCAAGCGAGTCTCCCCACAAACCCAGATCCCCCGTGTCTCTTTTTCAGGTGCTCTCACATGCACAAGCCCCTCCTTCATCAGACAAGCAGATACCAAACAAACACCCCTCTGATGTTGGAGGGACTCACCAAAAAATCGAGCAGGAGCCCAGAATTCCCAAAGACAAGCCCTGGGAGGCTGGAGGTGGCATTTTCAATATTCCAGCAAGATTTACAAGCCCACCTTTGGCTCAAGAGCACTAAGGACCTCAAAACCACAGCAGGATTTTCAGAGGAGCTCAGCTCCAAGCCTGGCACCTACATAAGTTGTCCTTCTGATGGTTTAAATTCAGATGGGCTGAAACAGGGTCTGGAGCAGTGAATTTTGTAAAGGTCTTGCCCCAGTGATGACGTGTCACTGTGACACTGCTCAGCTGCTACAAACTCAAATTTGCAGATGCCCTGGAACAGGGATGACTGAGACTCATCCAATTTGAGGGACAGAAAAATAAAAGCAGCACGTGGTGGTGGGATCCTGCAAAGGTGACACTCATCAAGAACCTGGACTTCAAAACAAGTCTCTTCATCTTCTGCTCTTTTCAGCAACCGCCAGTGAAGTGACTTGTTTAAAAAGAACCTTGTTTCTTCTTTCCTCATCCTGTCTGATGGGGCAGGTGAACCCCTTGTGAGGGTAGAATCACCTCTCACAAGTAAATCCCGACGTTGTGATGGGACTGTTTCACTCAGGATGAAGCTCAATCGTTCTTTTTCAACGCACAAAAGAAAACCATGCAGGGAAAAAAAAAAAAAAAGGACTGGTTAAATCAGAGGGCTCTTTGCTTTTTTTTAGGTTTGCCAAGAGAGAAGCCTTTACACCAAAAGCCTCAAGAAACACTGCCTTAAGTGGGAGGAACTGCTCATCCTTTGTTGGCCAAACCTGCCTGCAGATTTCTGGTCCAGCCTTTGCTCCATCTAGAAAGACTCACAGAATTTGCCTTCTCATGAAACACTTATGAACAGTAGAGTAAAGAAGCACTAACAGTCTTATTTCACAGTATATTTCAGTTTTGTCCCTTCCTTAGGGAACAGGAGGTCACCCCTAAGCAAACAGGTGGTGTGTTTTCTTCCAAAGCTTCTCAGCCTGATTTTTTGATAGCTTATATCAGCTTGCTACTGAAAAGGTAACAAATCTCACCTCCTTTGAAAACCTTGAGCTATCCCAGCAAAGAAACAGGAGGTTCACAGTGGAGGTGTTTTTTTAAAAAAATAAATAAATACTCAGGGAAATTCACACAGCAACATAAACCATGAGAAGGATCCCCAAATTCCAAAAGAAATTATAGTAAAAGAGAAAGAAAGGGGTTCAAAAAGGGTGTTCAGAGCTCTGTTACAGCAGATCTTGATACTTCACTGCTCCTCAGCCACACCAGCTGTGGATCTACTTTTTAATCTGTCAGTGTCAGAATTCCCAAGGAACCTGCTCGACAGCTTTTAACTCCTGCTGTAAAAAGCTGAAGAGAATTTGGGCATTTCACTCAGTCTAAACCAAGAGACCAGGCCACCAGACACCATAATTTGCTTCATATTTCTCAAGCCAAGACTACTGATGCCTGAGTGACATTAAAGACACATCTGAAGATCTGCAGCCTGAGCTCTTGAGAGAGGAAGATGCAGTAAAAATTCAGGAAGAGAAACTTGATCTCCAAATTCCTGCAATTAAGGACACGTGAAATACAACTATTCTTACTGTCTATCCTTTTTTTCAGCAGCAGCATATTTTTGTTATCCTGGTTTTTCTGCCCTGGTTTCCAGGTCAAACCCAGTCCAAGCAAACACTCCTGGTTTACAGTTCAGGTAATACTGTCCTAACACAGAAGGATCACAGTTTAAAGATTTAAAAAGTCCCAAGGTAAGAGATGTAAACTGCATTTCATGTCATCTTCAGATGTAAACTACATTTCATGGCATCTTCAGAGAGAAGGTGGTGCCCCTTTCAGGTTAGGGATTGAGGACCACAACAGCACTGTTTGAAGAAACCTGTTATCAAAACAACACAGAGATGTCCCACCTGCAAAATCAAAACCAGAGAGGCAGAGAAATTGCTCAAGTCCAAGCACTGTGAACCCCAGACAGGAGATTCTTCACAGATTTCTGGTGCACAGCACTGAAAACTTAAAAAGCGTTAAAAATTCCGATTCTCCCCCAACGTTCTATTAAAAAAAAAAAAAAAAAAAGGAATAAAAACCAGCACAGTGTCACTAACTGGGGCAAACGTGCAGTTTTCTGTTGCTGCCAGGGGAGGCTCCCAGTTGCTCCCTCTCCCCTCCCACTGCTACATCAGCGCTTCCCTGTCCGACAAACTCCTGTGGATCTCCTGCTTGTCATCCCCCTCCTCCTCCTCCTCCTCGTCGGCCGGGTCGTTCTCCTCCCCGGATTCCACGTAGATGGGCCAGTCGCTGTCGGCATCCCCCTTCTCCTGGCCCTCGGAGGCCGTTTCCACGAGGCTGAGGTTGATGGGCACGGAGTCCTCGTGGGTGGTGGTGACGCAGGTGCAGCTGTCGCAGAGCCCGAAGCGCCGCAGCCCCGGGGACAGGCTGTTGGTGAAGGTCCTCCTGCAGCCCTTGCAGATGATGGGCTTGTTGGAGCGGTGAACCTGCAGGGAAAGAAGGGAGACAAGCTGGGGAAAAAAAAAAAAAAAAAAGCAGCAACCTGATAGTTCGGAAATATTTCCAGAGCGGGGAAGCGGCTACGCTGGAGCTGAAGGGGGGGTGATCCCACGTTTCCAGACACAAAGGTTTGGGCTACATAAGAATCATGGAATCAGAGGATGGGTTGGGTTGGGAAGAACCTTGAGCTCATCCAGTTCCACAGGCAGGGACACCTTCCACCAGCCCAGGTTGCTCCAGCCTGGCCTTGGGCGCTTCCAGGGATGGGGCAGCCACAGCTTCTCTGGGCAACCTGTGCCAGGGCCTCCCCACCCTCCCAGGGAAGGATTTCTTCCCAATATCCCATCTAAATCTGCTCCTTTAACTGTGAAGCCATTCCCCTTTGTCCTGGTACTCCATGCTCTTGTAAAAAGTCCCTCTCCATCTTTCTTGTGGGACACCTTGAGCTGTGATAAGTGATTTCCTCCAGAGGAAGCAGGTTTTTACTGGGATAGAAAAACAACCATAAATTTAAAGATCCTTATTCTGTCAGAAACTGTAATAAAAAAATATTGTTGTAATCAGCCCAATGGTTGTGACCCCTGCTTTGCTCCTCTCCCCTTGCAGACCTGAAGGCAAAGATTTCAGTACCCACAGATGAGCAGAATCACCTGGTCATGGCGAGTGTGCAGCTGCCCAACGACGATGCCCAGTTTGATGCCTCACACTATGACAGTGAGAAAGGAGGTAAGGGCCCAAAGGGCTGGATTTTAACCATATTTTCCTTCCCTTCCCAATAGAAAATTCACCTTCTCTCAAAGTTCGGGCAGCAAGATTCACTTTTACTTCTCAAAGTAAAGTGCCAGGGCCTCCCCACCCTCACAGGGGGAGAATTCCTTCCCTGTATCTAATCTAACAGACCAAATATCAAACACCTAATGAACCAAATACTTAAATTATTGAACCCAACATCAGTGGCTCTAAACTTATTATTAGAAACCTGACAACAGCTAAACTCTCCCGAGCCTGCCCTGCATCAGCAACAGCCGTTTCATCCGACGTATTTCGGGAAAGGCGACTGGAAAATGCCAAAAAAAACCAACTTCCAGGATGAATTTCCCGAGGGATACGGGCCCAAACTCACGCTCAGGGCGTGGCTCCGGAGGTGCTCCTGGCGGGTGAAGCGCTTCCCACAGGTCTCACAGGGGTAGGGCCTCTCCCCGGTGTGGGAGCGGATGTGTCTCTTCAGGATCCCCTTCTGCTTGGCCGTGTAGGGGCAGAAGGGGCACTTGTGCAGCTTGATTGGCACGACCAGCACGTCACCTTTGGGGGGGAAAACAAACACACAGAGCAGCGGGTCAGGCAGGGGCAGCACTGCTGGGAACTGCTGGGGTGGGGTTCCTGTCCTGCTCCCCCCAGATCCCAGCCCAGGGAACTGCACCTCCCCCATCCCTGGGCTGGGCTTACCTGGAATTCCCTCAGCCTGTGCACTTGCAGACATTGGTGCAGCTGCAGATGCCCAAGTGCCTTGGAAATGAGCCTTACACAGCTGATAACCACAACAGGAAAACATTCATTTTATTTTAAGAAGCCCCTAAGTGCCCCAAACCTGCTCTTAGTGCAGGGGAGTCTCTGCTCCATCTCAGCCACAGAAAGTTTCCTACTTCCTTTTTTTTTTAATATTATTAAACCATTAGCATCAAACAGCATCAGAAACTAAAATCTTTTAACACAAATTGCAGGTAGGAACACTGCACTGTGCCCCATGTGATCTTATATTTAAATGTGGGGAACCCATCTCAAAACATCAACACTTGTTTCTCCTGCTGTTCACTTCAGCCTTCCTGTTGGGAATAACAACAGGATAAAGGACTCCAGCACATTTGGTGATGATATTTCACTGTTCCTAAAATCAAAGTACGGGTGATACCCAATTTATGAGGTCAGGTGCAAAAAGAGAATTAAACTTGAAGGTCACATTTTACACCAACGTGAGTATTGCCAGGTTTGTCAGCATCAGCCAGGGGTGAGCTTCCCTTCCAGCAGAAGGGTGGAGATGTGATGCTAAAGGATTAGTTTTCCCTGTTTCAGGCACTGATTCAGGGCCTTGAGCTCTTCCACAAGCAGCTGAGGTTGCAGAACATCCCTTTATTAAGGTTTATCCAACCCACTATCAAAAAAGGTGTGTCTGATATTAATGGCATGTGAGTGAGAGCCACCTCACCCAATTCTGGACCTTCACAAGGTATTGCTAATCCCTGCTGGGCACTTAAAGCTCCATTAAAAATAAAAACCAAACCCAGTTCTTAGTCCTGACTTGCTTCCAGGCTCTCCAGAGGTGCCTGTTTACCCTCCACCTGCCGTGAAGGGGACCAGGATGACAAGAACAGATGTGGGCACTAAAAAATATAAGTAGTATTCATCTGCTGTGCCAGCCTGAGTGCACCATTCCTCTGTCAGGACTTTGTATTTCTCATTCCTGGTGTCTTGTGAAAATGCTGAGGCAGCAGCACCAGTGAAAGCTGGGAAGAGAAACTCCCATTCTCCTCAATGCTTATGATGTCCTGTTTTAGCAGAGAAACACAAGGAATGCAGGGCTTGGTTTCCTTTCCCTCACTCCCACTTAAGTCACATCTACCACTGACACTTCTACTCCACTGCCAGGACATCTGGTGTCCTCCATCAAATTCTGGAAGCATCTCCCTTTTTAATGATTTATTAAACAGTTGGGAGATTTTAAGAGAGGAAAAAGAGAAGTGAAGTTTGTGTGTTTGATGCTCCTGCCTTGCTACACATCAAAAATTTACAGGCGTGATCTGTGGCAGCCCTGAGAGCTTCTGGGGACAGTAAAACTGGATTTTGTGATTTTATCAGCTCCCTATTTTAAAGCAGTGAGAGAACAGGTCTGTTTTATTGGCTCTAGGATCACAGAGGCAGGCCTGAGCTGGAGATGACGTGAGCACAAACTTGCTGGGTATGGCAGAGCACCCAGTGCCAGCCCTGTCTGTGCCCAAGGCACTGTGGCATTTGCCACATCCTCACTGTTTGTGGCACCTGCAGTTTGCCAGAGCCACCTCCCGTCTTCACAGGGCTGTTTGGGCAAGGCAATTATCAAAAAAACAGATAAAATGCCCAAGTCTTTATTGTCCACTTCAGGGGAAATGCATATGGACATGAGCTTCTTCTTCTTCAGGTCCCTGACACTGCTCCTGGGAGATATTCCTGAGACATTCCAACAGGTGCTGGGCTTGGGGCAGCAGTGGAACCTCGGTGACCAACAGCTGAAAAGTGAGTTTGCCTCTAAAAAATCTCATCTTTATGCAGCACCACAGAGTTTAAAGCTTTTAAAGGACTTGTAGGTGTCCCTCAGTATTGGATTAAACTGATTTCTGCCCTTTGAAGTTCAAAGCAGGAGCAAAGAGACCATCACCCAGCAGATGTGCTGGCAGGAGCTCCAGTGGGAGAGCTCCTTCTGCTGTGCCAGGTCCTGCAGCAGATCCCTCTTGTGGCAGCTCAGCTCCTCCTGGATTGCTCCTTACAACACGACCATCACAAGAGGAAAAATTCTCTTTAAAAATTCACCTGCCATTCAAAGAGGTCTCAAGTGAGTTTGTTTATTTAGAGCAGAATCACCCACACTTAGCTCCAGTTTCTGTTCCAGAGGGGCTGTAAAGCTCTTGGGGATACTCACCTCCCACGGGCTGCACTGAACAAACAAGTACAGCCGCTTTGGAAGTCCACAACAAGAGTTTATTTCACTGTGCCACGACATTCACCGACATATTCCTGAGCAAGAACAGCAGCAACAAGAGAAGTCTGGGCACAACTGAGCGGTTTCCTCAGCCTGCACCCCCCCAGGGTCCTCTCACCTGTGTCCTCACCATACCAGTCGCTGTGAATGTCCACCATGGAGCTCATGGCCAGCCCTGCGTCCTCCGTCCTGCCCTCAAACCCCCTCACAAAGTGCTGCACCACGTCCTCCTTCCTCTGGGCCGAGCTGTTGCGCAGCAGGGCCTCCAGGAACTGCTTCATGTGGTAGTTGTTGCAGGCCAGGTCCACGGGCTGCCCCTCCTCCATGTGCTCCAGGGACAGCGGGGCGGGGTACTGGGGCAGCCTCTCGCCCACCTCCACCTCCCCGTCGTCGTCGAACTCCACCTTGGGTTCCACCCCCCTGGGCAGCGAGGAGTTCACCCCGTCCTGGGAGTCGCCGCCCAGGGGGTCCCTCACCACCAGCTCCAGGGGGTGGCAGCTGCTGCAGTCCCCGCACGGGGGGTCCCGCTGGCAACCCGGACCCCCTTCCTTATCCTGCAGGGACGAGCCAGGGGCAGGGCACTGTCCCCGGGGGCCGAGGGACGTGCCCTCCCTGGCGGAGCTCCCGCTGTCCGCCTGGTAGAAAGCCGCCTCCCGCTCGATCTTCCTGCAGATGTCCAGGGAGGACCTGATGTAGGTCTTGCAGAAGTTGACCACGTCGGTCATCTGCAGGTAGCTGGCGGCCGACATCACCTCGATCACGTTCTCCCCGCACAGGTCGAGCTTCCCGGAGTACAGGAAGTCCAGGATGACGGAGAAGGCCTCGGAGGTGACGATGTCCAGGGAGGCGGTGCTGTGGCGGCCGCTGTCCTGGATGTAGTGGATGAGCAGGGCTCGGAAGTAGCCGCTGTTGGCGAACAGGATGTTCTTGTGCGCCTTGAAGATCCGGCCCTCCACGATGATGCTGCAGTCGCAGAAGAAGTCCCGCTTGCGCTGCTCGTTCAGCTCCCCCAGCAGTTTGGTGTAGTAGGACTGCACCTCCATGGCTGTGCAGGGAAACACGGGGAACTGTCAGCAACGGGATGTGTGGGGATCCCCGACGGGACACTGGGGACAGGGGACACTGGGGACAGGGGGGACACTGGGGACAGGGGGGACACTGGGGACAGGGGGGACACAGGAGGGACACACGAGGAACAGAGGGGACACATCGGGTACAAGGAGGGACACACCAGGGACAAGGGGGACACATCAAGGAGAGGGGGGACACATCAAAGAGAGGGGGGACACATCAAGGAGAGGGGGGACACATCGGGGACAGGGGGACAGGAGGGAAACACGGGGACAGGAGGGAAACACGGGGACAGGGGCAGCAGCACCAGCCCCCGCCCGCGGGAGGCACCGGGGATGCTCCGGGACACCAAGGACCGTCCGGACTGTCCTGCCCGCTACCGGGATTCCTCCCCTTTCCAAGGACTGTCCTGCCCGCTACCGGGATTCCTCCCCTCTCCAAGGACTGTCCTGCCCGGTACACTGGGGGTGTCCGGAACACCAAGGACCGATCCTCCCGGTACCAGGATCCTTCCCTGATCCAAGGACCGTCCTGCCCGGTACCGGGGATGCCCTGGAATGCCAAAGACCGTCCTCTGCGGTACCAGCATCCCTCCCTGCTCCAAGCACCGACCTTCCCGGTACCGGCATCCCTCTCTGTTCCAAGGACCGTCCTGCCCGGTACCGAGGGTGTCCCGAACGTCAAAGACGATTCTCCCCGGTACCGGGACCCCACGGAACGCCAAGGACCATCCGGACTTATCCTGCCCGGTCCCGGGATCGCTCCCCGCCCCACGGCCCGTCCCGCCCGGTGCTCCCCGCTCACCTCCGCCCGGTGCCGGTCGCTCCCGGTCCCTCCCGGCCGCCGTACCGGGGCCGCCCCCGGGGCGGGGCAGGAAGTGACGTCAGGATGCACGGGTGAGGGGTCGGTAAATATTGGTGACGTCACAGCGCCAAGATGGCGGAGGGGTGAGCTGGGCACGGGCGGGGGGCCGGGATGTGGGGCCGGGATCGGGGCCTGTGGTCGCTGATCCGAGGTCTGACTCGGTGTCTGGGATCTGGGATCTGGAGCTGGGGTCTGGATCTGGGATTTGGGCTTGGGATGTGGGCCGGAATCTGGGGCTGGGTTTGGATCTGGGGCTGGGATCTGAGGTTTGGACTCGGGATCTGAGTCTGGATCTGGGTCTGGATCTGAAGTTTGGACTCGGGATCTGGGGTCGGGGTCTTGGATCTGGATCTTGGGTCAGGGTTTGGGATCTGGGTCTGGGGTTTGGGATCAGCATCTGGGTCTGGGATCTGGGGTTTGGGGTCAGGATCTGGAGCTGGGGCTGCAGATGGGTCGGGGTCTGTGCAGTGTGATCTGGGGGCCGAGTGCCGGCTCCGAAGTCTGGACTGGAGTTCTGGCTCAGGCTCCGCGTGCCTGTGTCTGTCTGCGTGTGTGTCTGTGTGGCTGTCTGTGTGGCTGTGTGGCTGTCTGTGTATGTCTGTGTATCTGTCTGTGTCTGTCTGTGTGTCTTTCTGCATGTCTGTGTGTCCTGACTCCGTGTCCCCCCCTATCCCACAGGGAGGACGGGGGCTGGTGGCGCAGTTGGCTGCAGCAGAGCTACCAGGCCGTCAAGGAGAAGGTGGGACCTGCAGGGCTGAAGCACGGCCTGGGAGGGCTGAAACTCTGGGAGCTGGGGGGCCTGGATGCTGTGCAGGGATCTCGTGGCTCGGGGGAGCAGCACTGGGCTCTGTCACATGAGACTCACCCCCCCCAAGCAGGGAGGGCTCTGTGATGTGTAACTTCCTGCCTGTGGCAGCACTGCTGGTGTTAATTATACACAACACTCAGAACAAGGCTTTTCCCAACCTGTGTTTTTCTATTCTTAGCTTAAAAAAAACACTCCTACTTTAATGGTTTGTGCACAGCAAATCTTGCTGTTATTCTGGTTGCTGTGGCCTTACTCATTACACTGGCTGGGGCAAGGGCTCAGCTGGGTTAAAGGCTCTCACACTCTAGTCTTTGTAACATGCTGGGTGTTCCTGGAGTGACCGTGGCTTTGTTGGAGAGCAGAAAGGCTCCACAGCTCCTCTGTTGTCTCCTTGCAGTCCACAGAAGCCCTGGAGTTCATGAAGAGGGACCTGGCAGAGTTCACCCAGGTGGTGCAGCACGACACCGCCTGCACCATCGCCGCCACGGCCAGCGTGGTCAAGGACAGGCTGGCAGTGAGTTGGGGGCTGGCAGAGCTGTGGCACAGGGGAAAAAGGGGGGTGAGCAGGGTGGTCCTGCCCCACAGGATGCTGGACAAACCCCAGTTGTGACCTTCAGGTGTCAGGTTTTCTCCGCAGGGCAGGTTTGGTGCTGAGCACTGCGTGGGGCTTCCTTGTGGAACTGCTGGAGGTCACGGAGTCATGGAATGGTTTGGGTTGGAAGGGAGCTTAAAAGATAATCCAGTTCTACCCCTCTGCCACGGGCAGGGACACCTTCCACTAGACTAATTGTCCAACCTGGCCTTGGACAATTCTAGAGGGCAGCCACAACTTCTCTGGGCAACCTGTGCCAGGGCCTCCCCACCCTCCCAGGGAAGAATTTCTCCCCAGTATCTACCTAACTCTGTCCTCCTTCAGCTTAAGGCCATTCCCCCTTGTCCTCTCACTCCATGCCCTTGTAGATGAGCAGAGGAAGGTTCCCTGTGGTTCCTCTCTCCCCTTGTGCTGTGTAGGTGGGATTCTGGCAGTGTCACTGTACATGGCACTGGATCTCTCCATGAGCTGTCACCCTCAGCCTCAGCCCTGCACAGCTGCTGCTGTGACAGCCCAACCCCAAACCAGCCAGTCCCAAACCTGGCTGTGTCCTTTCCACAAAGCCTGGGCTCAGTTCCCTACAAACCTGTTACAAATCCTGAGGTAGGAGCCTCCCACCATGCCCTTCCAGCCCAGGCACCTCCTCAGCACTTTTTTGAAGGGAGAGACATCCTGTTTCCTTAAAGGATCCTATCCAGGGACTGTCACTGACCCTGTGCTGGTTCCTCTCTTGAAGAGGACGGAAGGTTCCTCAGGTGCCACTGAGAAGGTGAGGAAGGGACTGTCAGACTTCCTGGGGGTCATCTCGGACACATTTGCCCCCTCACCAGACAAGACCATCGACTGTGATGTTATAACTCTGATGGCAACACCCTCAGGTACCACCGAGCCCTACGACAGTGCCAAGGTGAGTGTCCCATTCCTGGAGGGAAACTTGGGGATGTGGAGTCCTGAGCCCTGTACCTGAGGCTCTGCTGCTGCCCCTCCCCTGACAGATTTACCCTGTCTCCTCCAGGCTCGTCTCTACAGCCTCCAGTCCGACCCAGCCACCTACTGCAACGAGCCTGATGGTATGGGGGTGTCCAGGGTGGGGGGTCTGGGATCCATCTGGAATTCCCAGAGGGGCTGCTGGCTTGGCCTGCAGCTGGAATCACCAGTCATGGAGAGCACATCTGTCTATTGTGTCAGGGACCAGCTTAGGCTGAATTTACTGGCCCAGTTTAAACTGATGCTCTTATGTGGGCCCCGTGTCTCCCTCCCCCTTTGCCCAAACAGCATCTTTCCAGTTAAACCTCCCAAAACTCTTTCCTGCTTGTTTGTGCCAAGGCCTGTTGTCCCTGTGCTTGTCCCACACAGGCCCTGCTGAGCTGCTGGAGGCCTGGCTGGCTCAGTTCAGCCTGGAGGAGAAGAAAGGGGAGGTGGCAGAGCTGCTGGCAACCAGCCCGTCCATCCGGGCCCTCTACACCAAAATGGTGAGTGAGGCTCTGTCTGGCTCCTGTGGGCAATTCCTCACTTGGGAAGTGCTGCAGGGAAGCCCTGAGCTGCCTGGGCCCTGGGGTTGGTATAGAAATCACTGTGATTGCATGGGGATTAGGCAGCAGCTTGTAGTTTTATTCCATGCTTGTCACAGGCCTGGCACAGGAGTTCCTCTGGAACACTACCCAGTGTGTGTTGGAGCATCTTGCCTGAGGCTTGGTCCCGAGTCTGTGCACCCGAAAACACGGTGCAGGGGGGGTGGCTGCAAGGCCTGGGAGGAGGGAGGAGCACAGCAGCAGCTGCAGCCCTCCCTCTGAAGCAGCTCATCCCATTCCAGGTCCCTGTGGCTGTTTCCCACTCCGAGTTCTGGCAGCGCTACTTCTACAAAGTGCATCGCCTGGAGCAGGTGGGTCCCGGGCTGGGGGGCTCCCTGGGGATGGGCATGGCAGCCAAGGAGCCCTCCAGGGCACAACAGAGGCTTTTCTTGAAAAAGCAGGGGGCCTGGGCTGCCTTCTTGTGGTCAGTGATGCTGCAGTGCCGTGGGGAGGAAGGGGCTGGGGACATGTGTGGCTGCTGACGGGGAATTCCCTGCAGGATGAAGCCCGGAGGGAGGCTCTGAAGCAGCGAGCAGAGCAGAGCATGCACCAAGAGGAGCCAGGCTGGGAGGAGGATGAAGGTGGGTCTTGATGAAAGTGGATTTTGGGGCTCTGTGGGTGCCTCCTCCTCACTCCCACAAATCATGAGGGGCAGGGGAGGAACAGCGACAGGACCCAGGGAACGGCTGGAGCTGTGCCAGAGGAGTTGGGATGGATCTCAGGGAAAAGGTTCTTCCCCCAGAGGGTGGTTGGGCACTGAACAGGCTCCCCAAGGCAGTGGGCGTGGCCCCAAGGCTGCCAGAGCTCCAGGAGGGTTTGGACAACTCTCTCAAGGACAGGATGGGATTGTTGAGGTGTCCTGTGGATGATCCTTGTGGGTCCCCTCCAGCTCAGGATATTTGTGAACTCCAGCTCCCAGCCCAGCTGCTGCTGCTGCTCTTGCTGAAACATCTCTCGCTTCTCTTCTGCCTCCCTACAGAGGAGTTCTTGGGGATGTCACCCCTGCCTTGTGCAAACATCACATTTCCAGAAGCAGCACAGAAAGAACCCGCCCCGGCAGCCCCGGAGGGAACCCACCCCACTGCTCCCCAGGGCCCCCCCGAGGGGAGCTGGGCCGTGCTCCCCCCGGAGCTGAGCCCCTCGGAGAGCAGTGAGAGCGTGTCCCTTGTGACTCAGATTGCAAACCCTGCCTCTGTGCCTGCTGCACAGCTACAGACTGGAGCACACCCCGCCGGGACCACAGACCTCTCCCAGAGGCTGGAGGAGGCCACCTTGGAAGAGCCAAAGCTCCCAGAACCTGCTCAGCCCTCTGCACCTGCACGGGAATCAGCAGCATCCTCAGAGCCAGCGGCTGGTACAGAGCTCAGAGAGGGGGAGAGCAAAGGCCAGGGCAGGACAGAGACTCTGAGGGAGGAAGGGCCCACGGATCTACGAGTCTTCGAGCTCAACTCGGACAGTGGGAAGTCCACCCCCTCCAACAACGGCAAGAAAGGTGAGTGTGTGGGGTCACACGAGGCCTGGGGACCTGCTGGTGGGGGCAGCTTTTGGGGACAGGGCTCTGGTTTTATGGTGACAGGGGTGAGGAAAGGGATTTTGCCAAAATACCCCGTGAAGGGTAGATCCTACTGGCTGAAACTGAAGTGGAAGTAAATCCTTATGCTGTTGGGTTGGTCACATCAGGTGGTGACAGCTGGTGTCACAGCTGGCTCTGTCCTGAACCCTCCCCTGAGCCCCATTCCATGTTCCCTCAGGGGAACAAAGGGTGAGACTCCTGCAGGACCAGATTAAGGACATGTCACAGCTCTGGTTGTCTTCATTTCCAGGCCTTTCCTTGGGGTGATACTGCCTTGAGCAGAGCCTTGAGCTGCAGCTCTCCCAGGATAGTGGGTGTGCTGCTTTCTGGGGTTAGAAAGCCACTGGAACAACCCAAGATCCACCAGGGTGGCTGAGTGTCAGGAG